ACTGATATTACCAATTCTACTTCTCTGTCTCTTTTCTCCCCCAAAGTACATCACCTACACACAATTTCTAAACACGTAAGACATGTGGGATTCAACATGTTGAACAGGCATGCACAGCATCTCCTGTGGAGGATCTCCAGGGCATAGTAGGACATAGTGGCATCCCCAGGGCCTGGTATGACACCCAGCAAAAGTGCAGTATGGAAAGTTTAAGTTCCCAAGGATACATCACTCTAGGTCCTCCTTCAATAAGAATAATTGTGAGGTACAAAATTCCACAGTAGATTTCTATTAAATACTGGCTATCACGAACAACTTTAGATCATTAGCTTTACCCATCCAAGAATAATAAGTCAGATAAATATTATTTCTACACGTTGTGTATTTAAGACCTCTTCCCAGCAGCCAGCTCACATTTTTGGAGAGTACTTGACTACACTGTAATTCAAAACTTATCTTTACCTCTCAGTAGATACATCCTCAACTAAAAGCAACAGATTGCTGGGCCTTAAAAAAAAAAAAAGAGCTGACAGAGGGCAAGTGCAAAAATAAAGATAAATTAGAGAAGTTCTAAAAGCAGATGTGGAAAGGACTGGGTTCTCCAAATGCTCTTGTTTCCTTTGGATCAATGGGATTCACACATGGTCACAGAGGAGCATTGCTGAGGGAATATCATGGCGGGCATGCTTCTCCCCAGCACTATGACAGTCAACCCACATACAGTTTAGTTTGTAATACAGTTTTTAAATGCTTTCTTGACCCAGTTTTGAGGCCCTGGATAGAGGTGAATTAGTTCCCCTTCTCTAGAAAATCATGAAGTCCACACCCTGGACACCAGCCAAGTCAGCTCTCACACTCCAGGTCATTCCACTCCCACCTTCATGGCCTCAGAACCAGACACCAGACAACCAAGGATAGCCCCGACGTGCCAGGCAAGGCCTATAGATACTATTCAAACTAGCCAATCCTAAGCCCACTTCCCCCACACCTCACCTCACCAGAAACCACAATAAAGGGCCCACCCAGTGACCCCACAATGACCCCTGTGCTTCCTGAGTGGCCCTGTGTGACATCTGTATTCTCCCCAAGAACTGTGTTACCAAACTGTAAAACTTTTTCCGGTTTCTTCCACTTGATCTGTGTCTGACCTCATCTTACCTCACCCAAGTTAACAGAGTTAAAATGAGGTTGGACAAAGAAGCAAGTCAATGGGTGTCCTTGATTTCATAAGTTTGGTGGCTGCCGGCAACCGATCACAACCTTAAAAAACTAACATGAGAAGTTTTTCAAGGTCAGGAAGGGGTGAATTAATATATGGCTAGGAAAAAATAGGTTTCTTTATATCAAAAAACAAAAGTGACACCAAGAAATCTATTGTTTACATCCCTCAAAAGGTACTTGCCTGGCACAGGCTTCAGTCCGATACATCAAAATGTGCCAAAGTTATACAGGCAGTGTGCTGGTTATCCCGAGTCTTTTGAGTCTTAGCTAAAGAGGCCAGGCATGCAAAGGCACCTCCATCCAAGGAAAGCTGGGCCTGCTGTGGAGTAACCTGAATGGGAGCAAGTACCTGTTTGTTTTCCAGTAACATGTGGTGTCAATGGCCACCTGGAGATTGCACATTTTATGAAGGACTATCTGCAGTGAGGGTCTTGCCTCAGTGGCATTTTCTGCAGACAGGAGCAGCAGGTGGTTGCAGGGCTCTCCCCTGTTTATACTTGGGTTCTGGTTCTTAAACATTTGGCAATTGTCTTTGGCACCTCTCTGGCACAGATCAGAACATAACAAGTGAATAGCCCCAGCAGGCTTATGCTAAGCCACCACTAAATAGAGAGCAGAGTTCAACTTGTCTTTCATTGCTAGGAAGCAAAATTTATGTAGCTCACCATTTGTGGCCTTGCACAGGCATGGAGCCTACCCTCACCCCCCACCATGATGAGTCTCTCGGTAGCATGCAGACCCCTACTCCTGCCAATAAGCTCACCACACGACTGCTCATGAGAAAAGGCATTCTCAGTTAGGTGAGTCTTTTCTTCTTAACTCCCTCTACGTGGCACAACTGGTAACCACCCTCAGGTTCAACGTCGCAACTTGTTTTCTAGCTGCCTCCCCTTAGAATCCAAGAAGCCAAACACCCACTCTGTCAGCCTCCCTTGCAGCTACAGGAAGTTGTGTGACCCAGTTTTAACCCCCGGGAAGGGTTGCAAGAGGGGCTTTGACAAAAGTTTTTCCTTCCCAATAACCACAGTTGACCACAGCTGACCACAGCTGCTCTCCCTCTCCCTGTCTTGAATGTAGATGAATGTCAATGTTTATAATGATTATACTCTAAAAATACCATATACACTTCTATATAGGAATCAGGAGAATAAACATTTCAATGGTTGTAGAATCAGTTTTAAGAGAGAGTGTGTGTGAGTGTGTGTGTGTGTGTGAGAAAGAGAGAGAGAGAGAGAGAGAGAGAGAGAGAGAGAGAGAGAGAGAGAGAGAGAGAGAGAGAACACCCACTGGGGGAGACTTTTTTTGTGAAGTTAAAAAGATGTATGCTTTAGGGCCTCCCCTGGTGGCACAGCAGTTGAGCGCTGGGTTGCGAAGCTTCCTGCAGCCTCTGCAGCGCTGGTTCAATCCCCGGCCGCTGGGCGAGGGTCCCACATGGCGTGCAGACCTCTCCTGCTGCACCCACTGCTCCCCTCAGCAGTGGACTTCATCAGTCTGCCTGCTCTGCTCTCCCCTCTGTCTCTGGTGAATCCTCTCACCCTCCCATGCTTCTGACTGTACCCAGTGCTTGTATAAATAAATAAATAAATCTCTCTTAAAAAAAAAAAAGATGTATGCTTTAAACATAACAAAAATATACTGTCAGCTTGGACCCATTATTCAAAGTTAGGGGAGCTTATATATATTTTATTCCTTGTAGTTCAACTTATGAATGTCCATTTTGTAAGTACCTGGAAAATAAACTAGAGTTCTCCCGCCCTTTTCCTTTACTTTCCCCCATCCTATGTTTTGGACCAGAGTGGTAGAAATGAGTATGAGAATCAATGCTTCCACCAGTCCCTTCACATTCAAAAAGACAGCTGCATTTAGAGGCAACGCAACAGGATAGAGTTTAGTTTACAGTTCAGTTATTTACATACACCATGAAAATCTCCATGTATTCATACATTGAGGATATCATAAAATTGATCAATAAAGCATCTTTACTAATAACCTGCAATATGGAGCTATTACATGAGCATAAAAAGATGGAAGGTGGACAGAGAAGTCGACACCATGGACACAAGCACCATGAGCAGAAAAACAAGAGGTTGAGGAATTCTCTTACATACATTTAGCATTTATGAGAGAGAGAGAGAGAGAGAGAGAAGAGAAAGGGAGGGAGGGAGGGATGGAAGGAAGGAAACAAACAATACTGATAGGAAAATAAATTCTTAAAGAATTTTGTTAATGAGCCCTAATTTTTATTTTTGGCTTTGCCCTTTCTTTGCAGGGACCTGCCAGAAGGAGGGCAAAGGGGGAAGAGTCCACAATTGGATGTACTAGGTCCCCCCTCTCCATTCTCCATCCAGGCATCCTGCACATCAGGAACCAGGCTCAGGGTGAAACACAACAGGAACTGTAGGAAACTTTCATTTTGCCTGTTTCATTCCATTTTAACCATAGGCAATAAGTGATATCGAATCATATTTCACATATTTTTACTGCATCCGCAGGAAAATGAACTTTGGGTTTTTGTCCCTTATGCAAACACAGCACTCTGACCTGACCTGGGAGGTTATAGGGAGGCATGCAGGAGGGGAAACAGACACTTGACCAGCCTGACATGTCCCAGAGCCAAGGTGTGGCCTCTGCTGGAGCACACACTAGAGGCAGTGACTCTATTAGGCCAACACCCAGGCTCTTTGAGTCCCAATTATTTTCAGCCGCATAGAATAGATATTATCTCTGCTTAGAGATCACAACTCTTGATAGCAATTTCACAAGGTTCAATCTAATAATTGCTGCCTGGCAATTTACAGCTTTTCTACAAGAAAAAAAATTTTATGAAATGTACATGAAAATAATGTAACTATAAAAAAAAGCATTAACTTTATGAACTGGAACAATATGTAGTACTTCACACATGAATTGCTTTCTTTAAAAAATGAAATTATGAAGGAGACTTTTAAGAATCACTTTAAAATGCAAATTCCTGGGCCTGGCCCAGATCTAACAAGTCAGAAGCAGCAGGACCTGGTGTGATGTGAGCATTTTTAACAATCACCCTGATAAGCTCACGTTGGAGAAGCTATATTTTCCCTAGGAAGTAAACTGTTCTCTTTGGCTTTGGGTGACCATCCACTGAAATGCAGGCTTTATCCAAACCCATTTAGCATGTTCCTTTTCTCACCAATTAAATGAGATTACAAAGGACTTCATATATTACACCTGAAACCAGTACATGTTATGTCAATTATATTAATATTTTTTTAAAAGATTTATTTATTTATTTATACATGCACTGGGTACAGTCAGAAGCACTGGAGGGTGAGAGAATTCACCAGAGCCAGAATGGGAAAACAGAAGAGGTAGACCGACAAAATACACTGCTGAGGGGAGCAGCGGGGGGGCAGGAGAGGTCTGCGCACCATGTGGGACCCTCTCCTGGCAGTCAGGGATCAAACCGGCGCTGCAGAGGCTGCAGGCAGCTTCGCAACCCAGCGCTCAACCGCTGCGCCACCGGGGAGGCAAATCAATTATATTAATATTTTTTTAAAAACCTAATGCATTGTATATTTTTTCTTAATAATGGAAGAAACATCAGGTGAAAGTTAAAAAATTAGCTCAATCATTAATTCATTATAGGAATTGATGAAACCTAATGAAGATGTCATCATCTGTTATGGGTATCCTCCCCAACTTACTCCGGAATGTCTTTGAAAAAGCTCATAGGATAGAAGCTTCTGCAGGTGACCCCAGTCCTCCTGTGAACTGGGCCACACACTGGATAGGTAACTTACCCCTCAGAATGTAGTTCTGATAGTTTTGATCTGCTTCAGCTCCCACCTTGATCAAACATGTCAGACCTTCAGCCACGACAAATTCATGCACCAAATCCTTGTCATCCTGGCAGGAAATGGGAGAAACAATACAAGATTTCAAATATGGCCTACCCTCCATTCTCCATCCAGGCTATGCTGTTACAAGTATGTACAATCTCTTGAAGCTGGCCCAACCTCTAGAGAGTGTTCTGTTCTATTCAAATAAAGCATCTTAACTGTTGCTGAAGGAAATTTATCACCAGCCTCCATAGCCAAAAGCAAATGAATCCCTTCAGGAATATCTAGCATATTCCATTTTTCATTGCTTAAAAGTCACCAGGCTCCCCCACAGTTCCTACAGGTGCCATATGAAGCCAGATACTTTTTTACAATAGGAAGTACTTGATTGCTGCACAGACCATCCAATGAAGTATTGGAAGCCACACACGTGTTCCAAAAGACAGCCCTTAAGGACAGTAGCTACAGGAGCTTGGGAATGATATCTTAGAAAAAAGGCAGCTTCTCCACCTCCTAAGATAAGCTGCTGACAAGACAAGCAAGGAGGCAAAATCAGCCATGTATCAGAGCAGACACATCATCCTTCATAAGAGACACTTCAACTGGCCAGCAGATCTGATCACAGAAGGCAGAATGTGACTCAGGGATTATCGAATGTGGTGGTTCTCAAAGAAGGGTCTCCAGACCCACAGGCACCATGAGCATCTCATGGGAATATATTAGAAATGCAAACTACTTGGTCCCCACCTTTGACTTACTGGGTAGGAAACTCTACTGCAGGGGTCTCAGCAATCTATGTTTAACAATTTCTCCACATGAGTTAGAGGTATTGAGATGGTTCTCACCCGTGACATCTGTAAATAAGAATCATGCAGGAAGCTTTCAAAAGGAACAAGAAGCAGGTCTCCATCCAGATGGACATGGTCACAATTTCTGAGGAAGAGCAGGTTTTGCTATTAAACTCCCCAGGAAATCCTAGAGAGCAGACAGTTCAAGAACCACTGATCTAATCCTAACCTTCTCTCCATAAGTACTTAAGAGTGACAAACCTTCAGCTAAGATCACCAACTCTGAGCAGTCCCCAAACCCAATCCTTTTTCTGCGGTACCAGTTTCTAGAGTCTACGAAAGGAATTTTTCCACTGTTTCAGGGGATCTCCTCAAATGGACAGTGCCTTGTTGCAGATGCAACGAGGATAAGATTGGAACATTCATCTTCAATTATAAAAACGGGGCAAAAATAAAAAACCTCAGTGATGTAAATAGTAGAAAGTTTAATGGCATAATGAAAGGTTATTATTATAGCGATGGTCAAGAGAAAAAAATAATTTAGACGAATTGGCATAATTCTCCCATCCCTACATGAAATCAGCCCTTCATTTTGATTTCATGGCATTTTCCAATTATGTGGATGGAGGACTTGAGCTAAATGTGGGCAGGCCAGGCAAAGACTGCCTTTGAACCAAGGAAGCACTCTTAACGTTCAGAGGGCACTGGGGGGAGGGGTGAGCTGTGCTGTGCCCTGAAGGTAATGAAAGACAGATGTGTTAACTCAGACGTTCAGATAATCATGGCTTTGGAAGCAAGAGAAAATGGGAGAGTATCTTGAGTCTTCGGAAAATTACTTTACACTCATATGTATAAGGGAAATAAAAAATAATTCTCTCTCCATCCATATCCTTTTCCACCAGCATATGTGAAAAGTGAACATTTAGATGAGCTCATGTCTAGTCAGAAAGTTTTTCCAAGCATGTAACAAATGTTTATTACTTTAAAACTAGATTCACACATGACTTCATGGTGAAAAAGTGAGAACAACCTCTCAAGAAACCACTCAAGCTAATCACTAATATTAATATAGCAGAGAGCTCACTGTCTGCAAAGGTGTTTGGAAAAAACACTGGACAGAGGAGACAATGTTTATAAAAAATAATTCAGACTAAAAGGCATGCACACATGTAGATAAGGCATATAAGAGAGTGAAATTTATGGATAATAAATATGGAGAAACTTCCTACACTCTTACAAATTGGCTAAGTATTAGATTTTAAGCACATGTCCTAAAATATATAGGCATTAATAAATGGTTCTTAAAACACTGGTTTCTGACTAGAAAGAAATAAAAATGTTAACACTAACTGATAAATGACTATCGCTACATTTCAGAATTTTCTATTATAGCAATGATTTAACCTGTGATCATTTTTTTTTTTAAATGGCTATTAGTCAAGGGCTATTCAACTCCATTCAAATGACTGATGACTTCTTTTACACCCTTATGGTCTAGTTCCAAAAAAGAACCTCCACATCTAATAAACACAAGAGAAGGAGATGCAGACTCATGGATCTAGGCAAAAGTGATCTAAGCCCCAGACAGCTTGCAAAAGTGATTAGCCCATTTAATACCCAATGTGTCCCTACTGTGTGCTTTAGAGCTATTTTGTACACATGTGCACGGTTTTACAAACAAATCATAAACTTCCGTTAGCAAGCACCTTCTTCCTTGCCTACAAAGTGCTCAAAAATATTTCTTTGATGAATAAATAGTAGAAATAGCATCCTGAGATTTCAGAAAGCTAACACTACAGAACCAATTTGAGGAGGGAACATTTGACAAACCCCTAAACCTGTTTCTCTTGTCACTTGTTTTCTAACTTTTCCATAAGGGTAAACTTTAAACATTCCAGAGAAGGTAATTTAGTGAACCCCAGATGCCAATGAGCTCATTCTAATCCTATTTCATCTAGCATGCATCCCATCTGCTGCTATATAAATTTGAAGCAAATCTCAAACCTCACTATTCTAGTACATATCCCTGGTATATGTCCCCAAAATATAGGAACTTTTTAAAATGATGTACTCATACTAAAAAGTATCTTATTATCAAATGAGCACATTTCTAATTATCCCATAAATACCATTTTATACAGTTTGTGTTAGTATCTAAATAAGAGCCATACAGGCAATTAATAGATCTAGCTTTCATGTGTCTTTAAATTTGTCTTTTTATTCCTTGAAATGTATATGTTGAAGAAACTAAGTCACTTGTTCTTTGTCCATAGAGGAGGACACAGGCAGAATTTTGTTGATCGAACTCCTACAGCGTACTTTCAACCTGTGCCTCTGTCCTCCACCATTTATAAGTTGGTTTTGTACACAGCTCTAGGGCTGGTCTTGGCCTCGCCACACCATTGGCGGGAGTGTGCATTTCCATGAGGAGATACAGAATGTCTGGTTGTGTCTCATTTCCTTCATGGCAACAGTACTTGATGCTCAATTCCTAGATCCACTAAATCGGGATTGCAAAATGATGATATTCTAATTCTGTTACTCATTTTTATTAGTTAGAATAATTGTATAAGCAAAACTTCTCAAGTGTTGTTTGGTTATCCTAAAGCTCACATAGGAAAAAGCAAGATAAATGTGAGATTCTAAAACCTTACTCATTTTCAAAATATCTAACTGGTTTACTAGCATCTTCTAATCATGACCAGTTCATTGCTATTTTTTAGTCTCATTGTGAACTCATCAATGCAAACTTAATTTGATGTCTTTTGCTCCACTCTATCATGCTTACTGATGCTTTTGCTGTTCCATCTTTGGCCAGCATTTGATTCAAATACACCATAATTCTGTTAGCACTAATTCTACAAGTGTTTGATAGCCTTCATGCTATCTGTAAGGTAAGAAATTCCAAATTTATATTTCCCATTTCCTATAGCAGACTTGGAAGCAGCTATTTTTCTAAGGAGCTTGGGTTCCCTTCAGTGTTTTAAGACCACAATCTCAGTGCTAATTGTATTTTTTTGCTAATGTGTTATAAGCATTGCTTCTTTTCAGTAAAAAAGCTAAATATATACTTATTTGCTTGCTTCTTTATTAAAATATGCCATAGCTCATTCTGATACTTAAAATTAAATTCAGAAACATGGAGTTTTAAACTTAACCTCTACTACCTTTCTATCTTCCTTCTCTCACACCAAGCATTCTAATCCTAAAGAACTAAGGATGACAAATTTAGACCAAAGAGGTCCTCTGACTGCAGTTGAGGAACTGCATTCAAGAAGAGAATATAATGGAGGGTGAACAAAATTTTGCTTTGTTCAGCTAAAGAAGAGGGAGACACAGATGGATATATGGTGAGTGAACCTTGGGACAGTCGATATAGTAACTTACTAGATTAGAGACAGATGACTGGAGATATACACATCTGATAATACTATTCAATTTACCCAGCCCATTCATCTTTTGCTTAAGTGGCACCAGACACTATGCTAGGCCCCAAAGACCCAGCAGTGAAATCCAGAGAGCTCAGGACTAGACTCAGTCAAGTGCCCTGTAGTACCTTGTGTTCTATGCTAGAGGTAAGAACAGAGAAGTTTAGAGGTGTTTGGAGGTATTTGACCCTGACTGGGGTGAGGGATCATTTAGGGAGAGACTCCCTGGCAGGAGGCTATATCAGGAGGAAAACCGAGAGACATGGAGAGCAGATGTGGGGTAGCGATGCACTCTGGAATAGAAGCAATGGATCAAGGGGTAAAGGTGCAAAAGAGAACACAACCTTCTCCTGGAATTCAATCACGGTTGGCATTTAGGATGTAGCTAAGGACAGAGACATGGGCAACAGAGGCCAGATCCACAGGGTTGCAATGGTATACTGATTAACTCAGATGTAGTGCCGAAGGCTACATGGAATAAGCAAAAGAATGACAGCCTCAAATTTCTCTGGTGGGAAACTAAAAAACAGCCAATGTTGGAGAGATCAAAAGCTGGCTGTTGTAATTTTTCCAGAGAAACAGTCTGAAGCCAGGCAGACCCCCAAACCTGAAGAAGAAATCCCTGTACAGGTTCACACCAGCAGTTGAGGAGAAAAGAACTGTCTCCAGAAATGTTGATACCAAGAAGGGACTCTGACCTGGGAAAAGATGAGGGCATAGTTCAACCATGCAGGCCTACAGCTATCCCAATCTCAACAAGGGAGCTAAAACATGGTGCAAGCCACAATATAATTTATACCTTCAATTAACAGAAGAGAATGTCACATATTGCCAGTGTGTATTCAGCACTGGTATGGAAACATGGTTCTGCATGATAAACACTAAATTCAATATTCAGTTGAGAGCAGACCAAGGGGCAGAGTGGGAGAGGATGTCTGGTGTTGAGGAACAGAACACAAAACTGCAATTCTACCTGTAACAGGCTTTTCTTTAATGAATCTGAATTAAATTTGAAAAAGTATTGTATGTCTTACTTTGTATTTTTGAAATAAGTGATATGTAAAAATCTGAGATGATATTTTAACCTAATTTACATTGTAATATAAAGTATTTGTAAACAGTAAGTGGTACAACTTTATCTGTATCTAATTCCACATGCAATACAAAAACAGAACCTAAGAATAATTTTTTACCTGAAATATCTGCTTCAGGGAGAAAAGGGCTCTTCTTAAGTCTCGTCCACTCGAGTTGTACAGCTTTTCTGGAATAAATAATAAAAGATATAAAGTTAATTAAACAGACCCCATAGATGGTTAAAAAAAAAAAAAAAGAATGCATGAAGTTACAGGAGTTCCATTGGGAAGGTGAATAAAATGAATCCATTTAGGATACAGTCTGAGTTTTATCGATGGCAAGAAGAGGGGATGTGGGCTGCAAAAATTAATGCCCGGATTTGCACCCTGCGTCCCCACCATCCCTCTCTCTGTAGTTCTACCTGATGGCTAGAAATGTCTCTGGGTCTCTATTTTCACTTGATGTATCCAGAAAATGAACACCGTCAAACGGAATCCTTTTTCAGCCTCCCTCCTACCTTGCCTTGCAGCCCCTGCACCCCTGTGCTTTCTGCAGCTGGGTTCAGAAAGATTTGCAGACACATCTTTGCCTTGGTCATCTGATGGTCACCTCAAAAGACCCATGAGCAGCATCCTGGCTCTAAGAACTGCTGATGGCACCCCAGGCAGGAGGCCAGCCTTAGCTCTTTCTGAACCTGGGTTCTCACTCATGTTCAAAGACCCTTGCCCTGCTTCATTTCTGAGGCTCGCAATTCAGGCAGACTTCTAGCACCAACTGTTCAATCAATCACATTTAATAAGCACTAGTTAGTTCAGGCTACCTAAGGAGGTGACCTGAGCCACGGACCCGTCCTCTAGAGATCATAATGTGGCAAAGACAGATGAGCATGCCACAAGTACTATCTGACCAACGGGGTAGTGTCACAGAGTACTGAAGACACGTGGAAGGAAGAAAGAGTCCAGTTCTTGCGGTATAGACAGGACTCCTAGAAACACAAATTCTGTTCAGCTTTCTGATGGTTCAAGTGCCTAGGGTGGGATTCCTAACACCAGATGCCAAACTGCCCTAATGTAAATCATGCAATTCCTGCTTCCTCAGCACCTGGCAGGCATTATGGGTACAGCCTAAGCAGTGGGGGCACAATCGTGAATAGTGGACTTAGTAAGAACAAAGACCATGCAATTTAACAATTTCAATTCCATTATTGCCACCTATTACCTATGTGATCTTGGACAAAGTACTGTGCCTCTCTAAGTCTTAGGCTGTCCATCTGTAAAATGAAACCTAAAAACAATAGACAGAGGAAAACAAATTTTGTGCTAAGTCAAATATGTGCACAATGGAGAGGGATGCAAAATTATTTAAAATATTTAGAACAGAAGAATTGAAAGCAAAGTCATGCTGATGACCAGTCACCCTGGACTTCTATTCCAGCCTACAGGGGTAAAGGGCAGAGCCTCATTCTCCTCTTGTGTGAATGCCATGGACTTGAGTGGGAGCACCAGGCACGCAAAGATCTAAGAGAGTTAACAAAGTCTGATTATGAAAAAGATATGGCTGCTTTGTATGGTGGCTCTGGAGTTGAACAGGTTCCCGCCTCAGAGATTTTAAAAGATGGAAGGTAGGTGGAGCTCAGTATTTGCACAGTGATAGCCTCCTCAAAAATCTCCCCAATGAATTGTTGCCCTCTGCCCACTTGATCACATAACCAGTCCCATTTAAACCCGTCAGTGGCTATCAGTACACTGAGAATGGAATCCAAAATCCTTTACGTGGCACAACAAGCCCTGGGTCATGCAGCCCTGGCACCCGCTCCCTTGCTATGCTGTAGACACTGAGTCAACCTTCAGACCCTTGGGCAGACTCACAACCTATGTGCAGAGTTGGGAAGTGGAAATGGAAGGATTCTGTAGGCTTTGGGCCTGGAGGTGGTGCTTGAATCCAAGGTCTCCTGGTTGTTTCACAACCATGAAATTCACCACCCCTAAATACAAATGCAAACCACAGCCATTTGTCAATTATATGGAAAGTTTTGATTAAGACAGCAGCACCTTCCTAAAAGAATAGGACTCAGATAACTCCAGAGAAACCAACAACCCCCAAACTAAATATCTAATCCATCATGCACCTTAAGAAATGAGGACTAGGTGACTCAAGTCGACCTTTGAAGTGCTTGCATGATGTTGAAATACATGAGTAATTAATTCTTGGAGTGAACTGCATCAGCATCAACCCACAGTAGAATCCGAGTCCCTGGAGTAATTAACTTCTTCAGTTTCTACATCTAACAACTTGGAATTCTTAAACCCCCAAAAAGCAGACTTAGCTTTTTCCAGCTCCACTATTAATAAGAATAAAGGGATCACAGGCAAGCATGGGACTACATATACCCTGAGGAAAATAGGCAGATTCATCTACACAGGAAGAGCATTAGAAGACAAATCTATCCCAGGTACTACGGGATCAATCCCAGGTACTACTATGAGGTAATAAGGTTTGCAGTAGACTTTCTTGGTCATGTACCATCAGATAAGCAGAAATATGTCATAATGGATTCACAATATCACAATATCTTCAGCAACAATTGATCTGTTATGGCTGCTGATTCATGTGAATGAAGATTGTGATTAATGTGTTTTGACTATTAAGGTTTTAATACTTGGTACTATAGTCAAAATAATCGGCTTTTAAAATAGAGGTAAGAAAAGGGAATATCTTAGCTTAGCATCTCTGCTGATGTTTTGCAACGGAGCTTTACATCTATATTCATGAGAAATACTCATCTGTAGTATTCTTATAATGTTGTTGATATTGAAGCAATGCTGACCTCATGAGTTGGGAGTAGACCCATCTCTTCTACCTTCAGAACGAGTTTGTATAGATTTGGTATATGTTCCTGAAATGTTTGGCAGAATTCTCCAGTGAAGTTACCTGGGCTTCGAGTTTTCTCTGTTGGAAGGTTTTAACTATGAATTCAATTTCTTCAAATAACATAGGGCTAGTCTGATTATATTTTCTTGAATGAGCTTTGGTAATTTGCACCTCAACAAATTTCTCCAGTTCATCTCAATGTTCTTCATAATATTCCCCATCAACCTTTTATTGACTATAGAATACTCCTCTCTTTCATACCTGATATTTGGTAGTCTGTGACTTTTCTCCTTTTAATTTGGTAGTCTGGTTTGAGATGAATCCATTTAATTGATATTTTCAAAGAATCATTTTTTATTTTATTGGATTTATTTTTTGACTTTCTAGTTTGTTTTAACTTTCTGTTTTTTTTGTTTGCTTGTGATTTAGTTGAATTTTTTCTGGTTTTCAAGGTGGAAATTTAACTGACTTAAGAATTTAAGTATTTAGTGCTACAAAGTTCTTTCTAAGCACCTATTTAGTGGGATTCCACAAAATGTAACCTATTGTGTTTTTATTTCCATTCAATTCAAAATTGAAGGAATGATGAGCATTTCATTTAATTTGGAAATAACTTTGACCTTTTTGACCTGTGGTTTATTTAGAAATCTATTCAATGTCAAAAGATTTGGGAATTTTTCAGATTTCTTTCTGTTGTGGATTTCTGGTTAAATTTATTTATAGTAACAAATATACTTTTTATATCAATTATTTTCAACTTAAGATTCATTTCATATCCAGAATATGGTCTATCATGGTGAATGTGGCATAGTCACTTAAAAGGAATCTTTATGGTGTTATTGGGTGGACTCTTCTAGACACATCTTCTAGGTCGAGTGATCGTATTGTTCAGTTCTTCTACATTCTTACTGAGTTTCTGTTTACTTGTTCTATAGATTACTGTGAGAGGACTGTTAAATTTCCAACTATTAGTGGATATGTCTATGTGTACAATCAGCTTTATGAATGTTTGTGTTAGGTGCATTGAAGTCCTTATGTTAGATGTACTCAAGTTTATGGTTGCCTTGTAGGTGAACTGACTTTTTTTAGCATTACGTAATGTCTTCACCTTTAGCAATATTCTTCATTTTACAGTGAATTGTTTTAATATGCTCACTTTTGGTAAGTGTGTGCATGGTGTATATTTTTTCATCCTTTTATTTTTAACATATTTAGAATTATTTGTGGAAATGGTTGCAACTATTCTTTACCCAATCTCTTTTAATGTTATACATTCACTGTATTTTTAACCTCTAGGATATCACAAATGACTCCTTGGTAGCACTAGAACAGAAGGCCTCAGGGAACCCTGATGGTGCCTCTTACCCTTTGATGAGAAACATCCTTGTTCCAGTGCCAAAGACATCTTTGCATAGTGCCAAGAAAACTCTCCCCCGCCTTTTTCTACCAAGTGTCTTTTAATTAAAACAAAACAGTATCTGTTTGAAGAGTATGTACTTTCTCAGCCCAATTGTCTTTAATTTTTTAGATTTATACATATCCATTATTTGTTTAAATAAACGTATTTTTGCATTCTATTCCAAAACTAAATAAGATAGTATAGTTCCCAAATAATTATTTCTTTTATTCAAGAAAATTATTACTACAGGCAGTAGAGAGATTTTCACAAATTTTAATGTAATTTTGCTTTTTACTATCAAAACTCAAAAGATCAGCTAACCTATGTAAGAATATTACATGGTTTGGCTGAAGTGTCCTTTAAAATACTTTAGTTTTTAATTTCATGTGCTATAAGGCACTTGGTGTGGTCAGATCAGAAATCTTTCCATCTGGCATCTGTTAAATAGCAGCTTCTTTTTCACCCTTCATACAATGTAGCCAGATTGTCAATGACGTTTTATTTTTATAGACTAAGATAACCTCTCCCAAAGTACTGCAAACCTTTCCTTTTTCTTTTCTTTTTTTTTCCTAAAGATTTATTTTATTCATACAAGAGCTGGGGTACAGGCCAGATGTGCGTGAGCGTGAGAGGATTCACCAGAGACAAAGCAGGGAACAGAACAGGCAGTCTAATGAAATACACTGCTGAGGGGAGCAGCGGGTGAGACAGGAGAGGCCTGCTGCGCCATGTGGGATTCTCGCCGGCTGGCTGGGCCCAAACCGCACTGCAGAGGCTGCGAACAGCCTTACAGCACAGCGCTCAACCACCTGTACCACCAGGGAGACCCAAACCTTTCCCTTTTCTAGGCAACCAACATCTTAATAAACATGCACTGAGTCCTATTTGAGAATAATACTGAAGTCATCACCATTGTG